AGTTACATTATTATTAATATCAAATTATGAAAAATGGTCTATTCTCTTTAACAGTAATAATTTTTTTTTCCTATAAAAAAAATAATAATAATTTAATTTTTCTTCCTTGGATACCCTTTTCATCATTCAATTTTTCTATTAGCTCTATTTTTTTTATTATTATTTTTTTTAATATTTGATGTTTTATTAGTTTTGGGAATATTTTTATTTTTTAATTTTGGTATAAAAAATTAAATAAATTTAGAAAATTTTATTTGATCATCTGCACGAGACTAATCTAATTTTGAATATTTGTTGTTTCGTTTTTATTTTTCACAATCACTTAATATCTTTTTATGAAAAACCAATTCTATTTTTTTAGTAGGGCCATAAGTCATAACAGTTGGATCCAGCTGAAATTCTTATTGGATATACACATGGTCTTTGGTTAATTTAATTAAGAAAAATTGACTATTTCTAATTATAGAATTATGATAGAACTCTCTTTTTTTTTTTTTACAGGTAAGATACACAGGGAGCCCTTTCCTATCACAGAAAAAGAGGATGAAGTTCGAACCCCCGTTATAGGGGAGGAGATGGAGAGACTAACCATCCCTCCATCTCTTTGATACTCTAACTTTTCTTTTACTTATCGGATAGAACTAGTAGCAAATTAAATAAAAACCGGACCATCCACTGACCATTAAATTACGGAGTATCACAAATGAGTTAACTGATCATACATTCATACACGATTAATATTTAGACTTGACCCGAACATTTCATGTTAGTATAGACTAGATTAGATTTTTTTAGTATGGGTTTGGACTGACTTAGAATCATTATGAGCAATTGAGCATGTTTTAAACAAATTCGCGTTAAAATTAAATTGCAAATATTGTATCTGGCTGGCTAGTATATGAAAATTCTAATATAATCCTATAATTTTTTACTACCATTTTTTTTTAAAATGGACGGCTGAGATTGTTTATTTTATTTATTTATTTATCTTTAATTAGTAATTTTAATTAAATTATTTTTTAATTATTTTATAATTCTTTTAATTCTAGATTTCTGAAAATAATAAAAAAATAAATTCTAGAAGATAAAAATATATTTAAAATAATTAAAAAAAAAAAAATAATGTCAACCGTTCATTTTTAAAAATTGTGGAATCAAAAGTTATAAGACTACATTAGAATCATCAGGCTTATAAGAGTAATTTTAGTCATTTATTTAACTTCATCTAAATTATATTTTATCCAAAAAAGTAACTTCAATTAATGATGCGAGTATGCGACTAACTATAAATAAGAATTTATTTATAACGTCCCAACTTATATTTATAAAAAATTTTATAAAAACTTATTGGATTTGTAGTCATGTCATGATAGAGCTTGAACATTTCACGGGCATATAACTATATAAGGCAAACTTTTTTTTTTTTTTTGGTATTAATATTTCCTTGGTGCAAAATTACAATCACAATGACTAAATCAATTCACAGCAGAAAACAATTAAAATGTGAGATTATAAAGTCTTCTCCCATGTTTTCACAGCAAATTAAGAGTATTTATTAGAACAAAAATCAAACACACGGTTTAAATTTTAGTTTAATGACCACTCTCCGCCTCTTTGAGTTTTTCCTTGGCTTCCTTCTTCTTGTGATGTTCATGGAATGCAAACCCACCAGCTCCCACTGCAACCGTGGCTGCGATCGCCTCTACTTTCTTGTGGCGGTCAGCATTCTCTGGATCCTTCTTTGCCTTATGCTTCTCATGCTGTACATACATAAACACCATGTCACATATAGTCAATTTTTCTGCCTAATAACGTAAGTTTAAATCAAAGTTGTTACGATAACATATTAGCATATGCATAGTATATTATTATTTTGAGTTGCTTCAATGATGAAAAGTAAAAACTTGGTTAAGCCCCGAGATTATGCCTAATTTACCACATTCAATTCTTACTATATATCGAATGTCGTGGAGGCCATCTTAAGATTATTCATGGTATCGACCCAAAATGTGCATAAGCATAACGTACATATGATTATATGAATAAGATGAATAGGTAACGAAATTACGAAAAATGTACGTACCAAGGCATAAGCACCAGCAGCAACGGCAGTAGCCTTGCTAACGTGTCCAAGGACCTTGTGATGCTTCAACTCCTGTTCGGGGTCCTTAGGCTCCTCATCTGCCTCCTCCTTGTGGCGGTGGAAGAAGTGGTGGTGCTTTTTCTCCTCGCTATCAGACATAACTTCAAATTATATCAGCTTACAAAATTAAATACTTTTTAATGATCGAGAAGATATACAATACTTGTAATATTATTATGTCAGCTGATGAATTTTTTTCTTAAAACCTTAGGGTTATATATAGACCTATAAAGCTACATATTTTTGCTTTCGTTATTATTATTTAGAATATAAACAATTAAAAAAACTTAGTCTAGTGGATTAAGGAGAGGAAAATGTCAAGTCGTCGATTATACACCGGCCACAACCAAAATTGACAATTCTCATAAACATAAACATGTTCATCATCGTGTATAGTAGTACTCCCTAAATAACTTAGTATAAGCTATCATTATTAACTTAATCAATTAAATTATGACTTTTATGTCATTGTGTTGCCTGGCTAATCTCAATTAAGCATATATATACTGTACTTTTTTCTAAGTGGATAACACCTCCATGTTGAATGGTTCCTTGTACACATGGATTGCGACTAAATTATAGTCTCATGTCTAAATTAATCTTAATTTAATATATTAGAATATATAATACTCCTTTCAAATTATTAGCCATCAGCTTAATTGGTTGTTAAAAAAGGTGTTCTGTCATCAACTACAAACCATGGGCATCAATGGATAATTTTTAAGGGTTTTGCTACACAGTATTAATTTGTATATACGTAATAAAGTATAAATTATCTTTTGTGTAACAATTAATTTAATTGATTAAAATTTTGGAGGACGATACTTAATACATTATATATATGTGAGATCAAATGACTATGTCATTTGTAACTCTTTCCTTGCCAAAAAAATTTGAAATAATAATAATAATATAATCTTCCTCCCTAACATATAAACACAGTACAAAGGGACAAATTAAAAGAATCAACTTGGTTTAAAAAGTCGTCATCACCGAGTTCTACTAATCAATGTACAGCATGTTTCATAAAACATGTTAGTGAGCATTTTGTTGAACAGTTTGTTGAAATTTCAAATAGTAGTTTGCTGTTCTAAGACACTTTCATTTTTCTCACCCAAAATAGGGGGATCTCTTGTGAATTAGTCTAGATTGAGTCGCATAGCAAGCAAAACTAGGTATAATCACAAATTATGACTATGAAATAAGATTTTTGTTTAACTAAATCATGAAATGAGAAAATCTAATTAATATCTACTTGATCATATTATTATTTTAATTGCTAATTAAGTCTTAATTATTAACTTTATGTAGTGTGATTTTATCACGTATTCAACTAAGTGCTCATTAATAAAATGTACATCTAGAGGAGAAAATAACGGTTCTACAATTCTACATCTCACATGTATGTTGGTGTATGGTTGTGTGCATGTCATGCATCCGTGAATAATGCGCCACAAGTTGGCTAGTGAGTGAATTGTTGTGATGAGACTCACATTAGCGAGAAGTTATAGTCCTTGCCTTGTACAGTTATACTTGTCTTATGAAATGATGAAATATTATATATATATATATATATGTACATGGATGCACCAAGGGCATATTCTACTCATTTTATATTATTTTGCTCATTTTAAAAATGTTTTTAAAACAAAACAAATAAGTTAAAAAAAAAAAATTACCTACTCTTGGACGCACCTACCTAAGTGCACTCACGCCACTCAATGTACATTAAAGATTTTTTGTAAAATGAGGAGAAACAAGATGATGAAGAGTCCAATCAAAGGAGGAAATCGTAGCCAACAATGCAATCGGCTTGCTGCATTGCTGGCCCATAACAGCCTAAATGGGCTTTTCTCTTTTACCAATTATACAAATATTTTAGGCTCATTGCAGGTCAGATAGGATCTACCTACAAGAGATTTTGGCCTACTAATTAAGATTGTAACAAGATTGAGGGCCTGTGTGTATGAAAAGTGTGGGTTCAAATCTCTTTTTCTTGTTTTTTTTTTTTTTGGTGGGACAGGGATCCTTAATGTAATTAGTATAAAAAAAAATACAGTCTAAAGTTTATGATTGACCACTTCATTTCATTCGAGTATTACTTCTCTACATATGAACTCGATGTGCTACTACTTAATCAATCGATTATCAATGAGGTTCTGGCATTAGGTTAAGACTGATGACTTATGTGTGATAAGTTACGGGTTCAAATCTGTCCACCCTGTTTATAGTTTGTGTTGTTCTTATGACTCATTGTTGAAGAATAGACCTTCCAAATATCACCACATATAAGTGTCCTTTATTGGTTGAAGAAGAGAGACTTAAACACTTTATAAGGTTAAGGGGCTACTCCTCCTATTGCCATATGGTTTTGGGATGGAACCTCCTTTGATCCTGTGAAGTTAACTTTCTCTCTTGGTTTGCGGGTGCAGCCCATTTCTGTATTTAACACTCATTTAAAGTATATAACTTGAGAGGTGATACATGGAGTAACTAATATAATCGTCGTACACTCGTACCAGCTAAAGTACTGTATCAACAGGCTCTAAAAAAGAAAATTGAGATAGTACTTTATTTAGCTTATGCCTCTACCGTTGGTTTAATATTGACCTAATTATCCTATCTAGCTACTTGATCACGAGATTCCTCAACCTACCTTGCTTGTTATCTTCCATTCTTCACCTACCATTATTATACCCTAAAATTATTTCAACCTTAATCTCTATCTAAAAAAAACTATGCAATAAAATGATCCTAATATAATATGGCATATGATCCGTACAATGAGCACTCACGTAGTAATTATATATAAACCAAAGTAACATGTAAAATATGTCACTGCCCAAAACTTCCAAAGCCAAAATATAACATCAAACAATAAACTTGTACTATATAATTCAAAATGGTTGTCCAAGGAGAAATTGTTTGTGTTACTGGTGCAGCTGGGTTCATAGGTTCATGGCTTATCAAAAGGCTCCTCGAGCATGGCTACATCGTCCGAGCTACTGTTCGAGACCCTGGTCTTTTTACTAGCTATACTACTAAGTTACTAGTGTTATTCCTACATGCAAATATATTTGTATAGATTATACACTTACTAAATTTATGGTTTGTCTTGAAAATAATTTTGCAGGTAACATGAAAAAAGTACAGCATTTGTTGGATTTGCCAAACGCAACGACTCACTTGACACTATGGAAAGCAGACCTTAATGAAGAAGGAAGCTTCGACGAAGCCATTAATGGTTGCACCGGCACCTTTCATGTTGCCACCCCTATGGACTTTGATTCCAATGATCCTGAGGTTAATTAATCAGCCCCCCTATTTAAATCATACTACAACTTTTACCTAAGAACTTCGAGTTGACACTTATAAAATTGTGTTTATTACATGTTATGTTTAGTTTCTAATGGTTTGGGTGTTATTTTGGTTACAGAATGAGGTAATTAAGCCTACCATAAACGGCATGTTAGACATAATGAAATCATGCATCAAGGCGAAAATTCGGAGATTGGTTTTCACATCATCTGCAGGAACTGTCAATGTAGAAGAAATCCAAAAACCTGTTTATGATGAAACTTGTTGGAGTGACATGGAATTTTGCCGCTCTAAGAAGATGACCGGATGGGTAATTAACAGAGTAATTATTATCGATAATACAAATTAATTCCAAACTTTTCAAGATTTTTATTTATTTACTTTATAACATGGTTTTATTATATGATTTCAGATGTATTTTGTATCTAAAACACTAGCAGAAAAAGCTGCATGGAAATTTGCTGCTGAGAATAATCTTGATTTTATCAGTATTATTCCACCTTTGGTAGTTGGACCTTTTATAACTCCAACAATGCCACCTAGTCTAATAACTGCGTTATCTCCCATTACAAGTAAGTACTAATTTGCTAGATTATTAGATAATTAATCATGTATTTTTGTGCCATTAAATAATTGTGGTTTGACATAATTTGTAGGAAATGAAGCTCATTATTCAATCATTAAGCAAGGTCAATTTGTGCATTTGGATGACCTTTGTATGGCTCATATATACTTGTATGAACATCCTAAGGCCGAGGGCCGTTACATAGCTTCTGCTTGTGATGCTACCATCTATGATATTGGAAAAATGTTGAGGGAGGAGTATCCAGAGTACAATATACCCACCAAGTATGTAGCAATTACTCCTTATGATGTAATGTAACACGTTTTATCTCTAGGGTTTTAAGGAGCAGTATTCTCTCTGCCCTTTCTACCCCACTTTCAAAAAAATTCATTGTTGTTATGAGCTAAATTGAACTGTGAGAGGTCGTTTCTAATTAAGGTCTCATTGTCACTAGCTAATAATTTAAAATTGAATTCAAGGCTTAAACTGCAATGTGAACAAGAATATTTCAATTGACCTAGCTAAAAAAAAGTATGTTTTGGTTGTAGTTCTCTAAACTTCTACTCCATATTTTACTAGGTTTGAAGGGAGATAAACTTGTTCTCCTAATATATTTTTATTTGAATGATCCTTCAATTTTTTAACTTATTCAATGAACTATTGGACAGATTTAAGGATTTTGAAGAAGATATGGAATGTGTGCATTTTTCTTCTGAAAAGCTTATGGGACTAAATTTCAAATTCAAGTACGGATTGAAGGACATGTACAAAGGAGCTGTAGAGACTTGCAGAACAAAGGGACTTCTCCCTCCTTCCTTTCAAAATGAAAATTATGAGAATTAAATTAAATTAATTATGAGAGCTAGCTAGAAAATCTTGAATTAATACCATCATTAAGCATGGATTTCGCAAATTAAACTAAAATTAGTGTGTGGCTCGCGCGGGCGATGCCCCGAGTTGCTAGTTGTACCTGTTTAATTTAATAATGACGTTCGATTGTTTTTTCAGATAGGAGAACCATATTCAATATTTTGTATGTTATGATTAAAAGATATTCAACTATTGACTATTTAATAGAAAATTTATATCTTGTCCAAGTTAACTATAATTTTGTTAAGTAAAAATGCACAATATACAAATAGCTAAAGTGGCAAAACATGCATGTAACGTAATACACAGTACGTACTTGTTAGTGAGGAGTCCAACTCTTTTTTTATAGTGCTTAAAGGGGTAACGGGTGGCACATGTTGATGACGTGGCACGTTTTAGAGAACAGAATAATACATGACACATATTCTGTATTAGAAACACTTTTTGTATAAGGAACGCTTTTTAATATAGAAAATTATAGATATAGATGTTTATTCGATTAGCAATGGAGTCTAGAAAGATATATTATGACAATTGATGTGTATTCATCCAACAAGTTTTTCCACTAGCTAGCTTATGGATTTATTATCAACTTGTTAAGTCAAGTGTTTGAGCTACTAAGGAAGTAAGGATTAAAGAAGAAAAGTTATTATAGATAAATTAAAGTGTTTGTTTGTAGGTTTCAAAAAAAAAAAGTGCTTGTTTGTATAATTTTTTTATATTGCACTCAAAGTAAATTGTATGCATTTGGTCTATTATAAAGTTTTAGTTCATGTACTCTTACTTTATTAGAAAAATTTACATTTTTTGCTTTTAATAGTAAGTTATAACTTATAACTATTGCTTACATAAATTTTAGGTAAAAAAATTTTGCAGCCATTAAGTTGGACATGAACAAAGCTTATGATAGGATTCGTTGAGATTTTTTCAATTTCGGTTATTGCAGGTTTTTGGTTTCTCATCTTACTGGATTCACATCATCCACCAGCGTGTTTCGACAGTTTCTTACCAAGTGCTGGTCAACGGAAATCCTTCACCGGCTTTTCAGCCTCAGTATGGTATTCGCCAAGAAGATCCTCTTTCTTCATATTTGTTTGTTCTCTGTATGTATGGAAGTTCTCTTTACTATGCTCAGAAAGGCCGAAAGACGAATCTCTCAATATTATAACGTTATGGTTGGATGGTTGGTGCATGTATTGTTTATATACCTATGCTCGCTATTATATACCTGCACTCACTTTTTTGGTTATAGTTTATCAAGTTTTAAGATTCATTAACTTGATCGAGCTAATTTCTGGTTTGAGAAAATATATATACTTCTATAAGTATTATATTCTGTTATTTATTGTTTAATTAGTTAGTCGACGTTGATAAACAATCTTGATATTGAAGATAGCCAATTTCTGCCTCCAATTACGTTTGGTGACAAATTATCTCCTTCGACCTCACATAATTGTCTTTTTAGAATCGAACGCGCATATTAAATGTAAATAATTATATTGTATAATTTTTTGAGTATCTCTACCTTTTTAAAAGTATTAGAAAACACTCATAAATATTGTGAGATAATTATATTCTTAAAATGTTTGTTTACTTATATGACCCTATTAATATGATGTTAATTGAATCTAAGCTTTTTTTTGTGTGTGTGATTTAATGATTTAAGTTTTATGAATTGTATTTGAACAATAATGTTCTTAAAAATAGTGTGTGAACATTTATACCCTAAAAATATTTGTTTACATATTTTACCTCATTTATTTAGCCAACAACTGAAATAATGGTTATCTAAACATGACTAGATATGGCGTGTGCATCACGCATGTTAGCTGTAACACCCCAAATCTCCCTCTACGTAAATACTATATTTATACGTATAAAATATCATAGAGATAGACTTGGGCGTATTACCGCCACGTGAAAACGTAAGGCTTACTTAACTACTAAAGATGGCAGCGGAAAGTAACTAACTTTTATTAATATTATAATAACCATAATATATAGTTCGAAAATACTCCAAATAAAAACATGTCTGACTCATGAATGAGTAAATTCCTAGCTAGGTCACTAGGTGATCCCAATCCTGACTCAAGTATGCGCACGATCAACTCCACACCTTAAATCAAAACTGTTTACCAATAATGGTAAACAGAGCGAACCAAAAAAATAAGGAAAACGTATTAGCAAAAACGCTAAGTACATATAAGTGCAAGGCATGTAAATGCTTTTATTAGACAAACATGCTTACAAAATAATTATTCCAATTCAAACTTGCCAAAGGTCACTTTCCAAAATTAGATTTTCCAAATTTAAACCTTTCAAAAGTAGTAACGTCCATTAATAGAAACTTTCCAAACCAATAGATTTCCAATTTTTAGACGAATTTCCAAAATCAATTTTCCTCACCTAAGTGTGCACACACCCCAAGCAAGTTAAACTATACTCGAGGAAAGACCAAATCATACAAAGCTCATGGTCTTACTTAACCAGTCCCGGGTAAAGGGACAGTTAAAATAATAAATACTTAGGCTCATAATGAGCTACAAGTTTAAATTAATTCTTTTAATTCAATAGCTTGAAATTCAGTGATCCATAAACAACTTTTATTAAGTTAAACTACACTTTTAAAGATCAAACCTTTAAACCGTAAAATTTATATTTTAACTCAACATGAAAACCATTAACTTAAATCTTCCATACGCAACATTTATTCGAACAATCATTAAAATAAACCTTTACCAAAACATGCATTCAAACTTGTATCAAGGACCTAGCCACCTATACGTACCTTGAACAATTAAGGTACGATCCACTACTAGAAAAAGGTCCATTTCCAACGGATGTGTTCCGACGGACACAAAATCCGACGAAAAAAACGAAATTTCCGATGAATTTATATTCCGTCGGAACTTTCCGACCGATATGGGTTTCCGTCAGAAATTTCCGACGGAATTTAATTCCATCGGAAAATATTTAATTTCCGAGGGAAAATCCGTAGGAAAATAAATACTTTCAGACGGATTTTAATTCCGTCGGAAAGCTTCCGACGGAATTTTGATTTTTTTTACAAAAAAAAACAAAAAAAAAATCCTAACCCTAACACACGGAACTACCCCCCCTTGCATTTTGTCATTTCACTCTCCTCTCTCTCCGCCACTCTTTCCCCTCTTTCTCTCGTTTCTCTCTCCTCTCCTCTCCTTTCTCCCCTCTCCTCTTTCCTCTTCTCTTTCTCTCTTTTCTCCTCTTTCCTCTTCTCTTTCTCTCTTTCCCCTTCTGTGTTCTTCACCTCCAGCCAGCCAACATCATCAATAACACCAACATCATCAATAACACAACTACCAACATCATCAATAACACCACCACCGCAACAACCACCGACAACACCAAGGTCGCGCAAGAACAACATCAACAACACCGTACAGCCGTCGCGTCACCTCCAGCGCCGCCGCGTCACATTCAGCCGCACTGTCAACATATCATTCTAGATCTACATTTAATTTTGGTTAGAATTAGATCTAGTTTTATTTTGTTCAAATTTTCAATGTATAACTTTTTTTTTTTTGAAATAATTGTATATTTAAGTTAAAATATTTGAAATAATTGTATAGTATAATTTGTTTTTGTTAAAATTCTAATTTTTTGTTGATTTTAGAGCTGTTTATTTAATTTTGAATAGTTGCTTCTGTTTTTTTTTTTTTTTTGTTTTTTTTTTTGGCTGAGATGTTAGGGTTAGGGGTTTTGGTGGGTGGGTGAAGATGGTTGGTTAGGGTTAAGGTGGTGGGTCTTGTGGGGTTAAGCGGGTTATTGACGGTGGGTTAAGGTGGTGGATCTGGTGGGGTAAGGTTAGGTGGGTTAAGGTGGTGGTTTAGGGTGGTGGGCCTGGTGGGTTGAGGGTAGGGGGGTGGGCTAGTAGGGATATGGGCAGGGGGTGGGCTGGTGGTGGGTGGGGCTTTGTTTTTTATTATTTTTTTCTATTAATTTTCCGACGGAAATTTCCGTCGGAAGGTAATAGATTCCGAGAAGCTTGGCTTGTTGCGACGGATTTTTCTGTCGGAAACTTGCGATGGACTTCCCAAATAAGTCAAACTTGACTCCGACAGAACATAATCCGTCGGAAATTCTGTCGGAATGGACCTTTCCGACGGAATTTCCCTCGGAATATCGAGAAATTCCTACAAAATGTAATGCGACGGTGCTTTCCGGCGGAATTTCAGGGTTTTTCGACGGATTTTTTCCGTCGTTGATTGGTTGTTTTCTAGTAGTGGGTCACTAAACTTGACCACGATCGAGGGACTCCTCCTACACAATTAAAATAACCTTAATTAATATAAGGTTAACAAAATAAACACAAAACTATAAATAATACCCTATTTGTGCATGAACTACCGAAACCTTTAACCTTATTAAATCAAAACTTTAATAATTTATAGTACCAAAATCATCACGTTAGTATTGAAATAGCACTAGCATAATAAATTAATAAAATTAGCAATGATACTCATAATGATAATAAGATAAAAGGAAGCAAGTTTTTTTTTTTTTTAGTTGCTTGCGGCAAAAGGAGGGTGAAAGAAACAAAGTGCTACTACACCTTAATGTAGTACGGCAATAAGTGTTAGGCGGCAGCAATAGTTGTGGTTGTTATGTTGGTTTTAAGCATGAAAGAAAGAAACAGAGGGAGAAGGAGATGATCGTGAGTTTGAGAAATAGATAAGGGAGTTATCTAATTTTTGGTGTGAGGAATTTGTGAAGAATTGAGGGTCTATTTATAGTGTTTAGAGGGTGGAAAAGATAAAGTTGAAGGTATGATACGGTTACTAGAAATATGATAAATTTTGGGGTTTGTTAAGGTACTTGGATCAAATTGAGTCTAGGTTAGTAGTTGGGTTAAAAGATGAAAAGAAATTTAGATAGATATACATATGGTTGGAAGAATGATGATAGGAAGCAAAATAGGATAATGAAGAAGAAGGCTAGAGGTTAAGAAAATATGTTTATCATAAAATCATTCCATGGTTTGGCTAGCTCCACGTAAAAATTTAGTTTTTTTTTTCTTTTTTTTTAAATATAAAAAACGAAAATCATATTTAAATGAATAAAATAATTGAATTTGATACTTAAATCAAGTTATTATACAAATATATAAATATTTTAGATAATATCAAAACTAAAATTAGTTGTTAATCATAATGTATATTAGGTATTATCTTTAAAACTCTTGAAATTTCTAAGATAACAACATACATATTAAATAAAATATGGACTAACCTATAAAAGATAATTAAACCAATATTATTAATTTAAAAATCCGAAAATAAATAATTATTCAAATGATTAAATACTTATATTTGGCGCCAAAATTTAAAATTCATTTTGGCTCCAAATTAAATAATTCAAGAAATTATTAAAATATTTTTCCAAAATTCGGGGTATTACATTAGCCACCTTAGTATAACGTAAAAGATTAATCGTACTCACATTATGAATGAAAGAAAGTTGTAATTTTTGAATACCGCAAAGAGCTCCTAATGATAGGACTTGTAATATTTGTAAAGAATAATTTCTCTAGATTGTTACACTTGTAACGTTTTAACCTTGTAAAATAGGCATAAACAAAATATCGGTAATCACATTATTCAATTGTATTTTCTTACTCGTATGCACATATTGATATATAATACCATGAACTTCTTAGATTTTTGTCAATGTGTATATTCTAGACATTAGCTTTATAGTTTCATTAGTTATACATAATTAAAATTAAATAGTAAGAACCATGCATTAATTAGATCCACAAAAATGATGACATGTAAGGTTCCTATGACAAATATTGTTAAGGTTACCTCTCGCTCTTCTCCTTTTAGTTTTATTTGGGAACTGACTTAGGTTAAGTCCCGTGCAATAATGCACGGTTGTTAAATAATTATAATGAAAATAACTTTACAAAGGAAGGTATATAAAATATAATAATTGACTCACCAAATATTAAAAAGTATGAATAAAATTTACAATATTAAAATAGAAAAATAAAAAAAATATTAAATAATTTTAATAGGCAATTTGATATTTTTGGAACTTTACTTAAGATTTTATATAAAGTGAATGTCATAAATTAGATACAAACCTTCTTTTTCTATAACAATAAAATATTTTTTAAGCAAGTAAATTTGGAGGGGAAATTCATAATAATACGTTGCCAAGCATCATTTTTACAAAAAGACTTGCGTGGACCTGGTCCACAATAATATTATTGTGGACCCGAGGTCTATACACACGCAACTGACATTATATTGAATATAGTGACCATTATTTTTAACATAGTAACCTTAT